TTTCGATATTTCCTTTTCTTTTCTTTCTCTTTCTTACACTTTCCTTTTTTGTCATATGTTTCCTTATCTTTTTCCTATTCTTTCTTATGTTTCCTTTTCTTCTTTTTTCCTTTCTTATGTTTCCTTTTGTTTCTATGTTTCATTTTCTGTTTTAGTCTCTCCTTTTTTTTTATTATCCTTTCCATTCCATTTCTTTTTTATGTCTTTTTTCTTATTCTTTTCCTTTTCTGTCTTATGATTTTCATTTCTTTTCCTTTTATCTTTTTCTTTCCCCCTTTCTTTCCTATTTTGTAGTGAAAATCAGAGCCCCCGTGGCCGGTTTCAGGGACCAACGTTTCTCTATTGATTTAGCATTACTAGATAAAAAAAAATGAACGGGCGGGCGGGGGGAACCTCCAAATAAGGGCGGAACGTCCTTTAAAGTCGGATAAGCTTCTCTTAGCAGACCTTAGCATATGATCATATATTTTTTTCGACAGTGTGCAACCTTGTTCTTTTAGATTAGGATGACTTTGTTCTTTTTTTTTTGTTTTTGTATTTTTTTTTATTATAAGAAATGTAAACCCCAAATATAGTGCAAATATTTATAAGATTGTGTCCCCTCACTCACAGATATGAATTTTCCTATCTGTTTTCGTATATAATCGCCTATAACTTCATAAAAAAAAGCCAAAAAACGATTTTAAGGTTGATTCTATTATTAATGGCATATCAAAAATCCTCTCTAGAACAAAAAAAAATCATTTTGCTAGTTCTCTTTTAACGTGCACACAGGCCATAATGCACACGCGACCGACGGCGCTATCGTAACCTGCATTTTAGCCCTCTAAACACAAGGAAAGAGGTGAAGGGAATTGTGCCGGGGACCTAAGAGATCTTCACAGTTCAGCGCGCACACAGTGGCTACCACCAGTTTTTCTTTATTTCAACTATATTTTGTGAGGGTGGTCCATCCAGCCAGAGCTGATCAATTGGGACACTCAGTACATACAATTACAGACAAAACGAATACAAATTCAAGTAGATCTTAACATTTAAACAAATCAATTAATATAAAAGAGAAAAATCTGAAAATAATTAGATGATTTTTAAAAATAGAAATAAAAATTAACAAAATGGAAAAACAGAAAAATAATTAAAACAAAAACTAAACCAAAGAAGTAAAAAGAAAATAATTTATCAAACTAACATAAATAATAATATATTTAAATAAACATATAAATATAAGTAATTTACTTTACGAAGAAAAAAACCCAAAGCAACAAAAAGAAATGGCCACAAGGAAAATTACACAATATTGGATGAAAGGTTATAACTCAGAAAGTTAGATTTGAAAGAAGAGAAAGGGAAAGCAGAACGAATAATCGGTGGAAAAGAGTTGTAGATGCCAGTATTATTGCTGAATGAAGTTTTAAAAAGTTTATGTTAGTCTTAGGAATGAGAAGATCAACTTTAGTGATTTTTGTTGTGGTCATAGGGCCATTGGCAACAAGCTTTTTGAGACACTGACAAAGAGTTTGTGGAGCAGGATTATGAATAATTTTGTAAAGTTAAACAGCAAAGTTGTAATTGAAATCAGAACTGAAGGGGAAGTGTATTGGCAGATCTGAAATGAGTAGGAGTGAGGCGAATAGTAGGAGGAAGTTTCATTAAGATACGAATGCTTGTTCTGTATCTTCTGAACTTTCGATATAGAAGCAGATTTTGATATTTAAACAGAGTAACAATAGTCAAGGCGAGAGAGAAGCAAATAATTGCAAAGTAGGTAGAGTCATTTAGTGAATTTTGAGGTGCGTGCAAGAAAATAAAAAATGGTTACAAAATGAAGATGTGTGAGATTTCCATCATTGTTAGAGTGTTGTCAATAATTATGCCTGCATGGTGTTTGTGGGACGTAACTGATAGAATTGGATGGTTATCGAGATGAAGATTAAAATTCTTATTAGCAGATTTGATTATGTGCAGAGAGTCAAGTATATAGCATATACTTAACTTTTTAATCTTAAGAGTTAGTTGGTTTTAACGATGTCGATAAAAGATTAAGGGTAGAGTTTAGTTTTTGTTTAGATATAATCGCATAAAATTTGAAAGAATTGACAATACTCACCTGTTTTGATAAAGACATTTACTTTCCATAAGGGTTGTAACAGCCACTGTAATCACATGAGTAGCCTCTAACAAAGAGAAACATATAACACAGTTTATTTATATATCTTTACAAAATAAATTTACACTGATATTGAGTTTATATACTTTTGCTTATTATGGCTAGGCATCAAGCAATCGAGCATTATATAAATTCCAATATAACGATAAGGCAAACTAGTGTTTTATTCAAAGACTTTAAGTTTGGTTTTTGTACGAATTTGATACATTATTTTAAAAAGAACTTAAAAAACATAATGTACAGGGGTTTTTTTTCTCCAAGAATTATGTTACAGTAGTTTGAAGATTCTCTCAAAACGAGGTCTATTATGTACTGTTCACACTATATTGTTTATTAAATCTGATACTTGTCATATAATAATAGAGATCAGTGATGATTACCATTGGCTTGATGATGTCATTATTACATCCATATATAGAACCAATATGATAGTGTGTAAGGGACCTGGTACGAACATGATATATCTATGAGAGTGTAATTTACAAAATGTAACTATTAAACGAGAACAAAATATTTTTTAAATACAAAATCTACGATTTTGCCGAGGTTGTCTTTACCATGCATTCTGTGTTATTAAAATATAATATGGTAATTCATTTTCAAAAAGCAATTTTTAAATAGTATGCCGCATGACCGGTAGTAATGGCATTGGCGTTTTTATGTTATGAAGAAATAGCATACCTGACCGGAAGTAATGGTAATGGTGTATCTGGAGTGAAGAAGGGAATGGTGATTGGTTTAACTGGTGCGGCACACGTGCACACTGCGCATCCCACGTCCTGAGGACCATCACCAGATATCAACACCTCTTCGTCTTCGAATGATTTTGCAAAACAGTCGTCATCTGAAAAATGTTTTAAAATATATGTTTAAATATATTTTTGATTGTACAATCAAATTAATATAGACTATACATAGTTTGGCTTACCTGTATCTGAACATACGGGACATCCGCAAACGTCACCGGGATGCTGACACCTGTTACTCAATTCACATGGAGCTGGATCGATACACAATGCAACGTTCTCAGATCTGATGCAGAAGCAACCGAAGGTGCAGCTTGGGATATCACTTAGATTATCGAACACTTGCGACTCATCATAATTATGGCAGACACACTGGGAGTAGTCGCATGTTGCAGTCCTGTAAATTATAAAACAGATCTGAATCATTGTTATATAATGACTTTAATTGTTTAGAAATGTAAGGAACTCCTATGTAATCGCCATATTCGTATTATGGGTTTACTTGCGATGGCATATTGACAACTCATCGTCATCGCATGACTTTTCTGAAGTGTTAACAACTGACCAATCAGTACTGAGTTACAAACACGCTTGTGCTAAAAGCGCTCGTGTTGTTCCACACACGCAGGTGTCACGCAACAATCAAAATGACGAGAAGTAGCTGAACGGCCAACCAAACGTGTCTAGGTATTGTTCCTTTATGTGTTTGCCACCTACTCTGATCTTTTTACAACTAATTATGCAATATTTAAGTGCGATTTTTTTGCCGGAAACATTAGGTGTACTATGCATTTTTACCGTCTCTTAATTGCAGTACTCCACTTTAATTTATATTTCATTATTTGAATGATATCACATGCTTCCCTTTGATACTATAATTTATTGGTATGATGACAATTACATTATTAGCAATAATATAAATTTATTTTTTTTTTTATTACACAGGAAACAAATTAAAAAGCCTACGATTTCGAAGATGTGAACTTACACGATAATATAAAGTCACAACTATTGCCCATTATTGGGATGTAAAAACTTTATTTGCTTTTCAACAAGCGCACAATTTTGCAGTGTAATTGATCCTACCTGACCGGTAGTAATGCCTGTGTGTAGGAGGGCGCTGGTACGGGTATAGTTGGCAGATTGCACGTGCACACTGCGCAACCAACAATCTGAGGACCGTCACCAGATATTAAAATCTCTTCGTCGTCGGCTGATTTGGCAAAACAATCACCAGCTGTGAAAGACGAAGGGTTACTTTTAAGTAATACAAACAAATTATTCATTATATAATTCTATGGTTGTATATACAATCAATCATAGGCCTATATACTAAGAATAAGTAAACTAAATAGTTACCTGCATCTTGACAGGTGGGACATCCACAGACTAGTTCTGGATCGTGACACAGGTTACTCACTTCACATAACCCGGGATCTATACACAATGCTGCATTATGCGATCTGATGCAAAAACAGCCGAAGGTGCAGCCTGGGATATCACTTATGTTGTCAAACACTTGCGACTCCTTATAATCTTGACAGACACACTGAGAGTAGTCACATGTTGCATTTCTATAAAATACAGTTTAAACATAATCTGAATGATGTATCTATTATATAGCCATATAGTTGGACAGATAAAAGTTTGTTGAATCTCTCAAAAGGGCTACTATAATACAATTTTCACACAATAAAATCATTTATCCAACAGTTATCGTTGATTTTTCGTGGGCTTGATGATGAGATTAAAAGGGCAGTGACAACAAAAAAGTGTAGATTGTTAGAACTATGAGAATTTCGTTTACAAAATGTAAATATTAAGGTTTAACAAACGGAAACAGATTATCTACAACATAACATTCGACGATTTCGATGAGGAGATACACTCGGATAAGAGATAGGCCTACCATGGTGTTTATACCTCGCTTTCAGTGTTACTAGAGTAGGCCTACGATATGGTAATTCATTTCCAGATGCATACTTTTATTAAATAATAATAAAAGTAGACCAGTATGACCAAATAGTAATGAAATTGGAGTTTTTGCTGTAAAGAAATGACTTACCTGACAGGAAGTAATGGGATTGGCGTGTCTGGAGTAAAGAAGGGAAGGGTGATTGGTGTAACTGGTGCGTCACACGTGCACACTGCGCATCCCACATTCTGAGGACCGTCACCAGATATTAACACCTCTTCGTCGTCGAATGATTTTGCAAAACAGTCATCTGAAAAAACGGCATGTTATTAAATACTTTTAATAATACAAACGCGATCATAATTCGTTTTGATTTCATACATTCAAATAAATATAGGCTGTAAATGGTTTGGCCTACCACTGTCTGAACATACGGGACATCCACAAACGTCACCGGGATGCTGACACCTGTTACTCAATTCACATGGAGCTGGATCGATACACAATGCAACGTTCTCAGATTTGATGCAGAAACAACCGAAGGTGCAGCTTGGGATATCACTTATGTTGTCGAACACTTGCGACTCATCATAACCATAACAAACACACTGAGAGTAGTCACATTTTGCAGTTCTATAAAGTACAAAAACAGATTTGAATAATTGTTATATAATGACTTTAATCGTTTAAGTGTATAATCAACTCTTATATAGTTAATTGTCACATTAGTATTCTGTGCTTATTTGTGATGGCATACTGATAACTCATAATCATCGCAACTGACCAAACACGCACTCACGTGTCAAAGGGACGAGACGTAGCGGAACGGCCCATCAAACGTGTCTATAGATATTGTTTCTTTATGTGTTTGCCACCTTCTCTGATCTTTTTACAACTAATTTAATATTTTAGTACGATTTTTCGCCGGAAACTTTGGTGTAATATCTATTTTAACTTCTTCTCTTAATTGTAATACTCCACTTTATTTGATATTTCATTATTTAATGATATCACGTCTTTTCTTTAATATTGTAATTTTATTAATATTATGACAATTACATTGTTAGAACTAATAGACAATATATTTATTCTTTCATTACACAGAAAATGAAATAAAAAGCCTACGATTTCGAAGATGTGAGCTTACACAATAATATAAACTCATAACGCTTTATTTGGATGTAACATCTTAATTTCGATCAACAAGCGCACAATTGCAATGTAATTGATCCTACCTGACCGGTAGTAATGCCTGCGTGTAGGAGGGCGCTGGTACGGGTATAGTTGGTAGATTGCACGTGCACACTGCGCATCCAACATTCTGAGGACCGTCACCAGATATTAAAATCTCTTCGTCGTCGGCTGATTTGGCAAAACAATCACCAGCTGTGAAGACGAAGGGTTACTTTTAAACAATACAAACAAATTATTCATTATATAATTCTATGGTTGTATACAATCAATCAGGCAGGACATAAACTAAATGGTTACCTGCATCTTGACATACGGGGCATCCACAGACTAATTCTGGATCGTGACACAGGTTACTCACTTCACATAAAGGTGGATCTACACACACTTCTGCATTATGCGATCTGATGCAGAAACAGCCGAAGGTGCAGCTTGGGATATCACTTATGTTGTCAAACACTTGCGACTCATTATAATCTTGACAGCTGAAACACTGAGAGTAGTCGCATGTTGCATTTCTGTGAAAATGGAAACACACCCAGTAAAGTTGATAGGCCTATCATGTATTAATATAATTGCATCAGAATGGTCCTGGGACTCCTAAAAAGGTGGTGCATCTATTACTCGACAAACCAGAAGACTAACAATTATGTTAATATTATATAATGTTTGATGCCACCTTATTATATGCTGTTTAATTTCAAGCACTTTGTTTTAACAAACTGCTCAAATTCCCCGATTAACCACCGTTTGCAATCTTAAATACCCATTCTCATTATTACACACATTAACGTAGGAACGCAACATTGAATAGGCATTGCGCCTATGAGATTGCCAGAAATCATTTTTCAAATGATGGCTAAATAAAATAATAATAATAATAATAATAATGTTGTGATAATTGTTTCGTCTTCAAAATTTGGTTATGGGATCTGACAGTTCAGAAAATAATAATCGTATTGTCAAGTATTGATATCCTCATCCGCATTTCTCTTCCACTTCACTTATACTTATAATAGCCTATAAGGAGCAAGATCCGGGGCACGGCAAAGTATTCTCTACCGCATACACCATCACGAATTAAACCACATCGTCTGAACACAACCTCGTATTTTACACACTCTTGCTGTAGATACCTGCACATACAATGGTCATAACCACAAGGCAAATGTCTGCACCCAAAAATCACACCCTGCACATGTTTAACGATGGTCATCCGAAAACTATATGACTCTTGCATAACAGCCCAGTCGTTCAAATGACGCTTTGTAATCTAATAGATCTAACAATATTAAATACTAATAACAATATTATAATAATAATCGTCATCCTAATTATAATAATAACAATTATTATTATTATTATTAAAATTGTTAATAATAACTATAATAATAATAATAATAATAATA